ATATATATATATATATATATATACATTTTAGCAATTGTTAAATAATTATTTTCAGCCAACCAAAATTCAATGAATAAGCTTCTCCTTTTTTCCAAGGGCGGGAGCTGATTAAGTATATAAATAAATTAAATTTCATAAAAAATAGGGTGAATATTACATATTTCAAAATAAAATTTTGAAATTCATTATCAGTGATGAGTTGACCAATATTATAATCTTTCTAATCTATTTTGCATCTTTTAATGATAATACTTTATAATAAATTTATTTAGAACCAAATTAAAATCTTCTTTATCAATTTAAGATATGAGCAAATCATTAAGCAGGTCAACATCCATTTCACTACATAATAAATGTTTGACAATATAAGTTCCACTAAAAACACAAGTCATAAAAATCACAAATATAAAGACTTGGAGAAAAGAAGAAAGAGAAAGACTTGCCTAAGAGGAACCCAAGCCAAAAGAGGAGATGTTGAAGGCGTCTTGTACGAAGGAAGAGGATATCGCGTTCGGTTGCCTGTGGTGCGACGTCATTTTGTGAGCGAACAAAGTCAAAGCACAAGACGAAGCCAAAGTCTTAGATGAATCATTGTCTGAGTGCGAGAGAAGAGACGAATTGAGTGACTTCGGGTAGGAGAGGGAAGCCCATGCCAAAGCCGAAGGAGAAAGAGAAGAGAATGGGGAGAAGAACCTTCGTGCGACCTTATTTGAAGGAGACACGTTTGAGCCGATAGAAGGAGAAGAACAGTATGGAGAGTCCCCTGTGCGGCTTTGTGTAGGAGACAAAACAGGAATGCGTGAGATTAGACAGAATTGAGAGTTATAAGGCAAGTACGGTTTCTTTATATTAGTATTCATTTTATATTAAATTTTATTTAAATTTAGGTGCTAACGTAGATTAATTTTATGCTAGTTAAAAACAAATTTTAATTGGAAGGGATGATATTTGGGTTGAGATGAGGAGGGTAGATGATAATCGAGGAAAAATGTTTTAAGTAAATGAATTAACATTTTAAATGTACTAATTTAAATTTGAAGTTTATTATAATTTTAAAATTAGATCATATTAATTATTAGCAGAAATCAAGATTTAAGATAAATTGATTATTAGATACGGTACCAATATATTTGACTTCAAATAAGGTTATTGTGAGTAATTATCAACTTTCAGTAATTTTTATCATTTCTAAATGTTGCGTGATTTCATTTATGCTATGTTCCAATGAGATTTAGATTATTAAAAATTATTTATATTGTTAAATAGAAAAATATGCATGTTATACAATTGCATTATAGTTTTTCTAAGAAAGAGGTTTTATGACTCCATCTTACCACTATTGAATGTCTGAAAAAGTGAGTTTGACTTGCCTAACAACAAGCCCATTTATTATTATTATTAATGTTTTTGTAATAAGGATGTTGTATATTCCCTAGTTGAAGCATTAAAAATTAGTCCATACAAAGGAAATGGAGAATAGTGTTTTTGGCAAAAACTGGAGTATTAGATAAGCATGTCCGGGAATTAAAAAATATCTCTACTGTAGAAAAAAAAGTCGGATGCATTTCCAGAATAAGAGTGACTTTGATTACCAGCCGAACAAGAAGTTAAATTTAAAATTGAACTGCACCTAGGAATATTGACAACATATTGATCTTCTTTTAGAATGAACTCAAAAGAACTGCAAGAATTGAAGTGTACGTTGCAGGTATTGATGGATCAATTAGAAGGTGCTAATGAATTCTCTAAAATGAAATCAAAACATCATCAAGACAGAACTAAGAAAGCAAATATTGCTAAGACAATTTTTGGAACTAAATATAATTAAGAATTTTTAGTGATATCATTTATGTTAATAAACTAAGACTGGAAGTAGTTCAAAACAGTGAAAACGAAAACAAATTTTATTAAGCAAAGGGATCGGGATTACAACACAACTCAAAACAGAAATACACACAACAACAACATCCTGTTAGGTCAAAAAGAGAAGATCCGAGGGCAGTGGTGGCATCGGCGAAGTGGCAAGGGAAAGGGGAAGAGCTGGTGGCTATATGATAGGTTGGGAAGGGATTTAGTGGGTGGTTCGAGGGCTAGAGGAGAGATACGACAAGGAAGGCTATAGGGAAGGAAGGAACATGGTGTTGGGTGATGGTGGAACGGGTTGGACAACAAGGATGGCAGCCAATAAGGGGTGGCTGTATGCAGGTTGATGGTTGGATAGGTTGATAGCTGGCTAGGAAGGGTGCGGCTAGTCATCAGAGGCCTGGAGGGAGCAGCGAAGAAGTAGGCCGACAGCTAGAGGAGGTAGGGAGGAGATCAGAAAGAATAGAAAACTACCTCGGAGCATGATATAGCCGAAACACAACCATTCATCAGATATAACCCTAATAAGTGAAGAAGAGACTCCACATAAAAGCTGAAAACAACAATCAAACTAATCTCAAAAAACAACATATGTATAAGACTCCAAACAGAAATAATTGAAAATAAAAGATAAGGAAAGGGTTGGGGGACTTGCCGTCCACTGCCAACCACATCAGTTGGCTGGCCCCTGGCTCCGCACCAATCTCTCGGGATTGAGGGAGCTTCGACCTCATTCGTCCAAGCTTCCAGTTCCTTGTCTTCAATCCTGGCAGCAGTTGGATCCCACTGTTGGTTGTCTTGTCTTCCAAAGTACCATAAAAGTTTTCTCCACTTACAAGTATACATCCCTATCGATCTGCTCTCCTGGGGTCCCAATACTGAACTGAACCGAGTATATATGTCTCGCCATTGTTGTTGTGTGTTCCCGAAGTAATCCACAATCGGTTCAACCTAATATGAAGTGAGGGTAGCTTGAATCTCTCCGAACGGAGATAACCATGGTGGTAGTATGTGGATCATGGTATCTTGAAATGTTCTCCGCTGTGATTGTTTCGTATCTGAAGCTTCCGACTCAGTTTTATCATCCTCTGCTGTCACCAAAAAGGGGTCCATTGATGTTGTTCTGTTGATAAGGGCTACGATGCTCTCAAGCTCCACAAATCTTCCCTTGGTGAAGGAGTAGGTGTTTCTGAATCTGTCGTGCTGAGTCCTATGATCAATTTGCCACAGTCTCCCCAAAAAAAAGTGGCAGAAATCCATATGGACCACATCGCCCAACACCTAATTCTGTAGCTGGCTCACGATCAAAACCTCCACTAGGCATCTCTGGTTAATGCTGACTCTATTTTCTTCTTCAGCCACATTAGAGATATGGATGGGAGTGCCTGTGTCATGAGACCCAACTTTCCTACCATCTGCGTCAATGCCACATTCTTACTGCTCCCCCCATCGACGATGAGACTACATACATTTTCTTTCTTTATACAGTGGCTGTATAAAATATTATTACGAAACCACTGCATATCCTCAGCCTGTTGGATTTGTCAAACCACAAGTGCTTCTCCTTCATCTGGTGGCAGATGGTTTCCTCACCATATTCCTCAACTTTCTCCTCTTCGCTAACCTCCACCACGGCGCCTGAGCTTGCTCGGTAAAAGGCACGACTTCGCTTGTCGGGCAGCTGGAGGTAATGTGCCCAAATCCATGACATTTGAAACATTTTCTAGCGAGGACTGTAGATGGCGAGCTTCTCCTAAGATTTCTTTTCACTGGGTGTGGCTATATCCTTATCCGATTAAGCTTTTATCAATTCTTTTAGGCTTGCTCTTGCTGATGTCTCCAACTATGGGTTGTTGCCTGACTAGTGGTGGTTGCCTGCTCTGTTCCTAGTGCCTCTCCAATTTCAATGCTAAGGTCTGGACACCTCCAAGTGACAAATAAGGCTGCGGCTGCACCACGCTGCTAATAGAGGGCTTCAAGCCCCAGATGACGGATTATGGTATGCTCATCTGTTTAGACCAAATCACACCTCATATGCACCTGATCAAACTGTGCCATAAACTTCTCTACTGACAGATCTCTCTGCTACAGGTGGTGGAGCCTCGGAAAGATATCCTGGTGGTAATGGGGTAGGAGATATATTTTCTCTGCATCGCTTTCTTTATCTTATCCCACCCGATAATCTTATCACTGCTTTCCTCCATTTCAACTCCCGAAAAACCTGACTCAATCACACCAATGGAAAGACGAAAGAAGTCATCAAAGGTATGGAGCAAAGAGAAAAATGAAGCAGTGCAACTTGCCCTAAGTCGAGCCATAAACTCTGTCTTTTTCCTTGTATTTGTAAGTTCTCTAACCACAAAGAGGCACTTTTCTTCAGCGTGATAGAAACTAATTTGATCCTCTTAACCTCTGGAAAATTCTGATACTCGAAGATCCGTTGAACAGATTGTACCAAATCAATAAAGTATTCTAGATACATACCCCCCTAAAATTCTTGTAGATCCACATTGATTGCGTAGTCTCTTTGTCCTCCAACGAATGTCTCCTCTCTAAACCTTATCTGATACTAGATTTCAAAACGCCGAGCTTTTCCATCTTCATCACTGATGTCCTCGCTATGTATGAGGTTGAAATTTTCATCCCTTTCACCTTTTCGACTTTCCTCATTGCCATCGAGGGTAAGTCCCTCCAGAGCGTCATCCTAAAATGTCCATCAATCTCCGCTAAAGTTAGCGGATCTCCCGCTGCATCTCTTCCCATGTGGACCATTAGGTTTAAAGATATGGAGGATCTTACTTTCAACTTCGTTTATTCAGGTTCTCTTTCAGCATATAGACAGAAAGAAAAATTTAGTTGCTCATACCTATGCCCGAAAGGCTATACATGCTAGTTTTGCTGTTAGGAATGTTGATAATTCAAATTTCCTTTTTCATTTTGTTGTCTTTGACCGGGCCCATGTTTTGATGGGCTAGGCCCTCCTTTTGTAATTTTTTTTGTAACTTTTTGATATAGTAACGCAATATGCACATTTCAAGGGTAAGCTCGGGGAAGTATCTCCTAGATGACATAGTTAGGGTTTAGGATTTGTGGAAGTCAAAAGGTTATGACGGATGCAAGAAAACCCGAGGATAGAACTAGGGTTAGGCTAGCCTGATACAAAATGATACCAGGAATAGTTCAAAATAGTGAAAACAAAAGCAAACTTTATTAAGTAAAGGGATTAGGGTTACAACACAACTCAAAACAAAAATACAAAACAACAATAACCAACTCCGATTAGGGCCGAAAGAGAAGATTCCAGGGCGGTGGTGATGTCGGCGAACCGACAAGGGAAAGGGTTGGTAGATGTATGGTATGTTGAGAAGGGATTTAGTGAGTGGTTAGAGGGGTTAGAAGAATGGGAAGGCAAGGAAGGCTGTAGGGAAGGAACTAGTGGGGTGTGATGGTGGGACAGGCTAGTCAACAAGGATAGCTGCAGGTAAGGGCAGCTAGATGCAGGTTGGCGGCTGGATAGGTGGACAACTTGCTGGGAAGGGTGCGGCTTGCTGTTAGAGGGCAAGCCGGTGACTAAATGAGGTGGGGAGGATGATAAGGAGATCGAGAAGGATACAACACCACCTCGGAGCAGGATACAGCCGAAGCACCCCCCATTGTCGGATACAACCCTAACAAGGGAAGAGGAGACTCCACACAAAATCTAAAAATTAATAATCAATTATAACATAACCCTAATCTCAGAAAACAACATATATAAACTCTACCAAAAAAATACAGAAAAGGAAAAATGGGGGGAGGGCTGGCGGCATCACCGCCCTTCCAATTTGTTGTTCGGACCAGTTGGGGCCTGCACCAGAACTCCACGAAACCAGTTCGAACGGTTCCCCTCCCTTACGGTTCAGCCGGCTAGCCCCTAGCTCAGCGTCATAAACACCACTGATTTTTATGGATTTGATAAATCAAAATTTCAGGCCATAAATTAATCAATTTGCGATTATATTCATAGTTGGTATTTTAATATATTCTAGACTGATCATAGATCATGCTAGAAATTCAATAAAAGTTCTAAAATTATCAAGAAAGGATCAATTGTTTGCCAATTTGTTAAAATGTGATTTTTTGTTAAAAAAATGTTGTTTTAGAATATATAATAAGTGGTGTAAGGAATTTCTTCAAAAAATGAGAATAATATTATAATGGTGTACACCAAAGAATGTTGTGAATCTTATAGAAGCTTATAGTTATTTTGGCCTAGTTGGGCATCATAAAGTATGATCTTCGTGAGTTTAGAATATATGCTAAAATTAATTTTTTTCTTGCTGAACACAAGAAAAGACATCACAAAGCAAAAAGGATTATTAGTTTTCTAGTAGACATTTCACAAATTCCTAATTCTTCATGAAAATAATGGCCACTTAAACCTGTCGTTTTGGTAGTTTCCGAGACCCAGAAGACAGAGATCTGAATGTTTAAAAAGAAATAGAAGGAGAAAAATTATGCCTGATGTGACAGAAAGTAGTTCAAATGCAGCAGAAAGCAAAAAATTATTAGTTCAAAAGAAATTGCAGGAAAGCAATTTAGCCGGATCACCTATTCATTAATCATTAGTGGGCTCAAATACGAGTTTGCTTCACAGACTTACCTGGCCAGCCACACTACGCATTTCACCATCTTCATAACCGTCCAACTTCTGCTTAACTCGCAATATAGAACGCGCTGCATCCCTGTTTCCTTCATACGCATCTTCCGAATTCTCCAAACTCGAATCTGAATTATCATCAAGTTCCTGTAAAGGTAAATATCCAAGGATTCAATACGAACATCAACCGTATTATGTTATTAATGGCAGAAGCTGAACCGAAAGTTGATATATAGCAACGAAGAAACAGGATCATAAAAATCAAATATAAGAATAAAATTCAACCATCATAAAGTAATATCTATTGAAATATGGTATGGAACTCCACTAGGGGAGTTAGGGCATGCAAAATATATAATGATGTCAAATGTGCTCTAAATTAGTACATCGTCGTCCGCATGAATGATATATGCCAGATTTTAGTTTTTGGAGTGTTTCCTATCAGAACTTCGGTCGGCGTCTCTGGTTTCCCCTTCCAGGGTTGTATCCAAGGGTGAGTGGTGCTCTGGCTGTTTCACGTTATGAGGAGGTGACTGTCCTCGACTTCCCTTCATCCACAACCTTCTCGCCACTGTCGTCGTCACTGCACCTGCTGCAGCCACCCCTAAAGAGCCCTCATTGGCTGTTTTTCTGCACCCCCCACTCCCTTACAACTTGCGGCCACCTTCCAGGAACCACACTTCCCACTTCGCCTTGCTTCCAGCACCCATAAATCACCCACCTTTTGTTGCAGTTGCTAATAAATCACCCACCTTTTGTTGCAGTTGCTCCTGACTAGCCACACCTTGGCCGTTCCCATTCGGGACAGCTCTCCCACATCAATTCCAGCCTTCCTGACCAAATCGCATCGCTGCCGTAACCACATAACTCCATTGTCTTGCCGTTTTACTGCTGTCCAGCCTTCCTGCATCGCTGCCGCGTTCATGCTGTTTTACCGTTGTCCGATCATCCTAACTCACTGCCGTCTTTCCTAAACCCTTTCACTTTGCTGTTTCACCACTTCCCGGCCATCAAATCTGCGTGCCGCTGTCCAGGACAGCAAGCATCTGCTATTTCCCTGCTGTACTCGCCCACTTGATCCACTTCCCTACATCACCGTCACTTTTCATCAACACCCAATAACTTTCATCACCACCTTGGAGTCGCCATAGTCCGGGTTTTGCCATACTTCTTGTTATTCCCTATTTCAATGTGTCTAGTTGTAATATCCTATTTGCTTATTTCGTATTTGCTTATTCAGTAATAATATTTGCTTTCCTATTGTTTGGGTTAACTCCGGTTTCACTGGAATCCTTGGGTAGAGAGGCAAAAGAGAGAGATTAATAAAAAAGATTTTAATTTCAATTCATCAATCAATTGATCAAAACAAAACCAGTAATCCTTACTTTATAAATAGAGATGTAACGAAAATTTTTAAAAATTAAATCAGACCCCAATCAAATTCAAACATAAAGATTATCGCAAAAAAGAAAAAAAGAAAAAAACCCTAATTTAACTAAATAAAAAATCCGTATACGTTAAATTTAATCCTGAAATAATTGACAATAATCTAAACCCAACTTTTTATTACTGCATCACCTACTCATGGCTATGAAATAAATTTATTACCTGCTGTCTTTGCAAGGCTTTCAAAGGAGAGAGTGCCCATTTATAAAGGGGATCATGGATAAAAACCTGCAACAATATACAATATGCTTTGTTTCTCTGTTAAAGTAGATAAATTTCAAATAAAGATTTTATGATGACTTAAATTACTTCAATAATTGTCAACAATGCTTCTTTATTTGTCCTCATGACTGCTAGAGTTTCCTCACAGCATCTCCTGAAAACACCTTCCACTCCGGTAACTCCCATGCCATCTATGATATCTCTTGTTAGTCTAAAGGGGACCTACACATGTTAATAACATAAATATATATTGATAAAGCTATTTTGATAAAATTATTGACAATGACCACACAGGTGAGAAAAAATGAAGAGAAAACTAGTTCCAATGTCACAGACCCTCTCTGGTGTTTTAAGCATGAGGCCCTGTTCAAAGGCCACACCAAGATCAATGTGCACTACTTCTGCGGTAGCTTGATCAATGAGAATATTCATTGAATGACGATCTCCCAGCCCAACAATGTAGCCAACCTAAATTTAGAAGGTTACTTGCAGAAAATGAACCAAACATATAACTCTGAACAAAAATAGAATAAAAATTTAAAATAACAATGAAAATAGACATGACCCACAAAAAAGCTGAAGAAATGATATTATACCATTCATTTCAAAAATATTAGCTAAAAAAATGCAAATATGACTGCACTGACCATTGAGCTAGCTGCAACACTTCGAGTGTAAGCCAATCTACACTCGAACCAATCAGCAGGCCTCAAAAACCTTTCCAAAAAGAAGTAGCGCATGACAGGCCTGTTTAGATATGAAAACAACAGTAAACCCACTAAAATTAAAATGATACTTTAGGAAAAATGCTAATAATCATAAAGAAACCTGAAATTCTTGCAAACTTTTAGAAATGCCCCGCGTTTATCTTTCTCCTGTATATATATCCTCAGTCATGAGAATAAAGCTTTTTAACCAAGAATTACGTTGCCATTTTTTTTTTCACAGAAGAATTATGTTGCACTTACGTTAGTCATATGCTCCCTGCATTGAAGAAATGACCAATCATCTACTCCATATCGTCCATGAGCTCCACCATTCCTTGAACTAATTGTAAAGAAGAGTTTATTACGAAAGCACATCAACTGTATAAATTTGCTTAAAGGATCAAAAGATGTACCACAATAACTAAAATGACAAACCTTCCTAGAAGATATTCACCAAGTGGAACTGTCCGATCAACCCATTCCACTAGCCCAGCGCTTGGAGTAAATGGTACAACCTAATCAGTAAGGAAAAAAGTGTAAAAAGAATAAATCAAGTAAACTAATTATCTTTCTCCAAAGTAAAAAAGTTTAAGCAGACAATAAAAAATAAAAAAAAAAGAAAAAAAGAAAATGGAAAAAAGGAGGACAACGCAAGCAAACAGGAAAAAAATAATTGCCCAAATAATAGCCCGAAGGATCAAACGGGTTAGAGAGTGTAGTTTTCGGAGAAGGTGTTTGGCAGGTAATACACAAATAAAATCATAGTCTTTGTGGATCCTTAAAGCATAAACCCGTTAGATGAATAGTTACAGCATTTATAGCTTAACAAATCTAACTATCAACCATCATTGCTCCGCTTCACTGAGCAACTAAATCTATGATGGCGCAGCAGGTACTTGACCAACATGATTAGTTGCTGCTGGTAAAAAATCTTACATCCAGTGAATCCAGCTAGTGTTGATGCTTAAGGCGTGGTTAAGGCTCTTTAACAATCTTGGGCTTGACCTCTTTACCTTTGATTCAATGAATACCTCTTGACGAAGCTCGTTTTTGTCCTTATGGTGTTCCCCATAATTTACATTGTACTGCTGAATAAAAATTGCTTGAGTTTGAGGGAATAAGTGTATTTTAATGGCATCTTTCTTTATTTTCCTTTCAAGTAACTTCCAATATTTACACTTTACTGCCATTGGACCGTGAATTTTCCTGTTGTTTTAAAAATGAAGCCACATTTTTCCTTAGTTGCTTAAAAGTTGGTGTCCCAAAAACAGTTGATCTGTTTGAAAAAAACAGTTTTGAAAGTACTGTCCATGGATAAATGTTTGAAATGTCCTTTGTTCATCTTATATAAATTTTATGCTGTTGGAAAGATAGTTCAGTTTTTTTATATATTGTTATAGCCTTATACAAAATTTTAATATAATCATTTGAGATATACATATAGATTTATATATATCTAAAATTCCATGATAAGTATTATATTATAAAAATAAGAAATTTGTGGTATTTGTGTAATTGAAGAATAAATGTATTTTATTAAATGCATTTTATCCCGTGACAATGCCTGTGACCGTAAATTTCCCAAAAAAGGGGCATTTACATACATACCACCTAATTCTTATGCAGTAACATTCGTAACACCTAAACTTCATTTATTACATACAGACGACCCAAATCCTTCGCATAAAAAACAACACAATTTTGAAGTTTAAACAAAGTAATACACCTTTTTTTGCACCATAAAAAGGTGATCTGTAATGTAATAATTGAAGTTTAGGTGTTAGAGATGTTAATGCATAAGAATTGGGTGGTATTTATGTAAATTTCTCAAAAAAATAAAATAAATAAATAAAATAATAAAAAGGCTTCGCAAGCTGTGCACCATAAGGGTAAACCAGAAAAAGTCACGTCCCACGCAAGCATGAAACCATGGGACGTAGGCATGAAACCGTGTTCCCTTTGTAGTTAAAAATGAAAAACTGGTTTGAAACCCCAGTTGCACAACGCTCCTTCCAAATGCTTCAAAATCAAGTTTGGTTCCCAACTGTGGGCTAAAAAGTTATCCCAAGATAAATAGGATCCGTAAGGGAGGCTGAACATCTCGTTGAGGCTGGAATAGCTTGAGTCGATTCCTAATAGATCGGTTCGTGTGCTTTGGTTTAACAAGTAGGCCCGTTAGGCAGTCCACATGCCATAAACCTTCTGAGGTTATTAGGAATAATAGGTCTTGAAATAAAGGATATGTCTTGAAATAAACCAAAGCCTTTGGTTTAACAAGTTATGGCTTATTATTCCTAATAAGCTATGTATTATTAGAAATAATGTTCTTGAAATAAAAGATATGTTGATTTCCAAGAAAAATAAAGGGTTAGACAAAGCCTTTTAAGGTAATTGTTCAATTTCAGCTCCAATCATAGCAAAAAAACTTAAGTCACATGGATCAAGAATTTGTACCATTGATCTATTTGCTTATGACCCTCGGATAACAAAAGAACTTAAGACAAATGAATTAAGGCTCTATACTGTTAAATCATCTCTATATGACCCTCACATTATAACCTGTGTACTCTTCTAAGGAAATGTTGGCCCTTATTTTTTTCCCTCCTTTTTCATTTTACTCTTATTTTGTAATGCCTATGGGAGATGTATATATATTTCCCCTCCTGTACAATAAAAAGTGAAGAGTCTAGATAGTTTTTTCATTATTTTATTTTCTACATGGTATCATAAAAAGGTTAGGGTGTTCCTTCCAACCTTTTTCTCCTTGTTCTCTAAGGCTAAGATTTCCACTTTCAGCCTTTGTTCATATTCTCTAAATCAGAATTTCCACTTCCTACCTTTATATTTATTATCTAAGTTCAGGGTTTTCACTTCTAACCTTTAGTATTATTCTCTAAATTTAAGGTTTCCACTTTTAACCTTATCCCTCTTGCCGAATTCTGTTTCAATTCACTATGTCAGTATTCCTTGACTTACCATTAAAAAAGAATCAACCATGATTAATAGTGAAAATCAGACCAAAAGAGAACTCCGGGTATTTCAAGCATCTTATTGCTTGATCAGAGAAAAAAATCTTAAATGATCTCAAATCTTGAAGACCATTCTAAAGGAAAATGGAAAAATCCAACACTTTATGAATCTATCTCCATATCCCAAAAACCAAAAGTTGTTACTTTGGAAAGGAATTAATTTCATGATTATGATATGGTTATGGAACACCATACTAATACAAATTAGTGGACATTTTATGTTTCACTTTAAAAAGAAATATGTTATGGACCTACTGAAAGGAACCAAGATTACAGAGCGCAAGCCATGTGAAACTCCAACCAAACCATGACAAAAATTAGACTTTGATGAAAGAACTGATATAAATACAACACAAAATCAAAAGAGATCAACATAATAACATATTCAACAAATAACTGTGCAACCCTACATTTAAAAATATTGTAAGCAAATATGTAACGGTAGATTTCTACCATCTAGTTTGAGAAGTGCTCGAATTTCTATTCCAATCATAGCAAATAACATTAAAGCACATGAATCAAGGCTTTGTACAGTAGGATTTATTCACTTACGACTCTAAGATAGCAAAGAACTTAAGACATATAGATCAAGGCTTTATACTGTTAAATCTATCTCTATATGACCTTCTAATTATAATTCGTGTGCTTTCATAAAAAACTATCGGCTCCTACTTATTTTTCCCTCTTTTTTTGATTTTATTCCTATTTTGTAATGCCCATGGGAGATGTATGTATATTGCTCTATCATACAAAAAAAAGAGAAGATTTTAGAGAGTTTTTTCATTCTTTTATTTTTTTCAGTAACAAATTTTCTTTTTTATTCTTGTCAATAGAAAACAAATTTTCCTAGCACTTCGACAATTAATTCAAGAAGGCTATCATTTAATAGAAATATGGAAGCAAACCTTGTATGTCCGTATTCTTAATCTTCTTTTCCAAGTGTCTCGATGATTTCGCAGGAAGATATTAACTAAACTAAAAAATTGTTCCATGACCTGCAAAATTTAGACAACAAATAAGAGCATAGATATTGTCAGAAACAAATAGAGCAAATTTTATTAGTCTTTCCATATAAGATTACTATTATTGAAATCATACTAAAAGTTTCTTATATTATGGTAGAATAAATGACAAATCAATCGTTAAACTAAAGATCATGAAGAAAGATTTCAATTATCAAGCTAAGATCCATTTCCACAATAACAGTGCTCCTGCCACCACAATAAATGAGTATGACATCGAAAACTAGCTAGGAAACATCTAATGTTATTACACTAAAAAGTAGCATTAACTGTAATAATTTGAAATGATTGAATTTCTTTGTATAGAACATCCAAATAAAAACAAATACATTTTTAACATTTGAACATTTCCATATCTGAATTCTATCCTTTTAAATTATATATATAAAGAGCTGCAAAAAATTGTATCCATTATCACAGCAATATGTTTTTACCTTAAGAAATTTTCCACAGGAAGAAAGTAAATGGTTGTTTGTGGCAAAGAAGAGTTTCTTGGTTCTAAAACTAGGATGTATAAAATCCATCAAATGAGCGGAAAAAAAAAAAACTTGCAATCATACAGCATCTTGTCGGAGGTCATCATTTCCTGATTTTGCAAGTTGGCGATATATCTGACCATCTGATCCAAAGCATTCAACCACTTTGGGACTATTTATACCATTCATTATCCTAAAATAACACAAAAGGGCAGCTAATATTGGACAATAACTCTTTTAAGTAACAAAAAATATTAAGATATTTACGAAAAATATACTTGATAGAATCACCCAGGCCATTGAAATATGGAAACATTCCTTCCTTATACTGGCATGTCGGGTCTACAGTGATATTGGACGTGACAACTGGTACCTGAATTCACCGTAAAAGAAAAGATTACAACAAATTGAATACAAAGCATGAGGGAAAAGAGAAAAAAAGGAAAAATAGTGACACATAAGTTGGTCAGCATAGAGATGGGAGCTACAAAGTAAAAGTGTGCTCTTACGATGCTTCCTAAATAAAAATATAAATTGCGTTCATGAAATCAAAGCCTCCACCAAAAGTGAGTATGAGATTCTCCTCCATGATATTCTTTAGGAAATGACGTATGATGCACATCGACATTAGAGAAGTTTCTAGATTCCACATCATTTCTTGAATTTACAGATGCCGATGATTTAAGAGATGTTTATTATCCAATTCCACTCTCTTTCATGAAAATCAAACCAGCAAGAAAAAGCTTTTACATGCTCCACAGGAGAATAGTTCTATTAGTCCAAAGGAGTCGATGCAAAGGAAATTATTCCACTTACTTTTTAAAATTTTGAAGTATTTTAATATTATGTGCAGCAAATTTTTTTCAATTTCACACATTTTAAGTTTAGATTATTTTTATTTTGAATTAGATGATGGAAAATTTAGGACTTCTTGAAGCAGGACTATCCTCCTAGAGGTGACAGGCATGAGGGATATGATTTCCTAGTCTATCTGAGTAGCGGAAAACTTCCAGTTATTGACTATTGAGGACCTTGTGGGGCACCAATTTGTCATATTTTGATTATAATAAGGATTTTAGTTCTGCTATTGATGTGGCGTAAAGGAGTCATGGGAGTGGTTCCTGTGATTCCTTCATCTAGACCGAACCAGTCCAGACCTGGGAGAGCCAATCGACTGTTCAATGAGGGATTGACGCCTCCTTTCCATAGTAAGATTCATTTCTAGTTATCTAGGATTTATATATGTTATTCCTCTGTTTTAGATTTTCAGTTATTGCTTGTTTCCGTTGGCGTCCCGATTTCTCTGTTCTAGAGTTGTGTCTGAAGGCAAAAAGATCCTTCGGTTATAACTCATCTTCAGGTGGTGTGTATCTCATGTTTCCCAACTCCCCGCAACCCTTCCTCATGCAAACACTTCCCCTTTCCTCATAGCAGCTGCCCAGGACAGCAGCCTTGCTGTTTTTTCCAACAGACCAGCCACCCAACCACCTATTTTCTTCATTTCAGTCATCTTTCCTCACTCCCAGCCGCCTCTCCCTTGTTGCAACCTCCCGGAACAACACTGCCGACTGTTCTTCCCACAATCCATCCCACTACCTTCCTTACATCCGTCTAGACAAGTGGCTGATTTCTCGCCGTTGTTTTTCCACCGATCTCCGCCAGCCAACTAACATTTTTCCCCACCGCAACTTTCCCTTCCTCCTCCAACAGCCATCCAACGACTCGCAACTCTCCTGCCATCCACTAACCAAATCTGACCACCACCTTTAGATATAGTTTAGTAGCGTTTGTTCACATTTGTGTTGAATTTTCCCTTTAAGTGTGTTCGATTGTAATCACATATTTGCTTTCGGTAATAATAATTGATTTTCTAATGTTGTTTGGGTTAAATCCAATATCATTTGGTATCAGAGCTAGCTTAACTCTTAGTCCTATCTAAGGGTTCCAAGCATCCATAACTTACCTCCACCAAAATATTTTCCTTCCCACCCTACATCACCCCTACACACCTTCCCCCTACCCAACCCAAGCCCTAATCATGCCACCACGAAGACAATTGCAAGAATCTATCAATAGTTTACTATGGAAGGATTCCAACGACAGCTCTGTCAAGTGCTACAATTGCTAGATGATACTGAAGGAATGACTCATTGAGAGGTTACCGACAAGCGTATTAGTGAGATCCGAAGAGGAAGGAATACCAGACCCTAGCTTGAGAAGAAGAAAAGTGTCGAGCGGCTTCGGTGCGATAAAAAAGTGAGATGAGAAAGGGAGGCTTCGTGCGAAGGAGAAGAGGAGAGGTAGTGGGCTTGCATGCAGGAGGAGGAGCTACAGTGAGCCAAACAGAAACACATACTAAAGAACAAATTGAGGCAGAGATGCCTGAGTAAGATTAATGCAACTTTATATTATTTAAATTAAATTAATTATAAGTATTAATGTTTTCTTATACTAGTTTACAACAAAAGTTTTATATCGAACTCTTCGTAAAATTCGAAGACAGAGATTGTTGTTTTCATAGAAGGAGAATGAAGGGTTAGGATTTTCTTTTATGGCACAAAATAAAAAGAAAATGACAATAATTAAGCCTTTATGATACAAAATGAAAAATTTTAGATGGAGCTCCTGAGATAACTTCTAAAAATAAAAGGAAATAGAAAAAAAATATATTAAATCAAAATAAAAATATAATTGATAAAACGATTAAAAAATTTTATAGAAATGATGAAGGAAAAATTTAATCCATAATCCCTTGAACATTTAAACATTTACATAAAAATTTAATACATGATAAAATAGTAAATATTCACTGTGTTTCTTAAAACTTAATTTGTAGTTTAACTGTCATTTTATGGAAAAAGAATCAATAGATTGATATGTCTAATGGAAGAAAATTTATTTACAGGAGAAACATGGTTGATGACAGGTAACAATCTGTTAGTTTTTCTATTTTGTCACTTTGATTGTACAATTTGTGTTACTATATTATAGGATGGTCATATGTTAATGTTAGAGAATTACTTATTTATGTATTATGGATTTAGTTTCTACATGAATGTTATTGTGGACTAATGTTAATTTTTGGAATTATTTTTCACCATTCGATCACCGGTTCCAGTCTTTATTAATTCTAATTTCTCGAGCCGATGAGTGACAAAAATGGTATCTGAGAGTTAGGTTTTAATTTTGATAAAAATGAGTCATTAAGATGAATAAACAAAATTGAAAATAATAAATGAATGTTAATGTTAGTCTAATTAATTTAATTTATTTTATTTTAAAAACATGGATAATCATGAGGAAGAAGTCGAGGGTAATAATGTAGAAATAAATAAGCTCCGGAAAATTATAGTCATGTTGATGCATTGTCTAGAAGAATACCTATTCTGACAAAATTGATTAAGAATTCTTAGTCTCAAACCAGTAATACTTAGGGGGCACAAAAAGTTAAGTACTTGAAATGTTTTTTTTTAAGATATGAAACCACCGCTATTTTAAATAGGAGGGCCAGTAGAAACTGGGAATTGGCTGATGATTGTGGAGAAAATTATAGATATTATGACATGTACACCATAAAGGAAAGTTACCTTCTGACATTTTTCTTTAAGAGGGAAGACGAAAGATGGTGGCATGTGCAATTGCAGGAGAAGTTTAATGGTCTACCTAGCCAGCTGGTGTAGGAGGAGTTTGTGAACACATTCAGAGATTTGTTAGTGCCACTTTCAGCTAGGAGATAGATGTAAGATAAATTTACTAAACTGGTGTAGGTAAATTAGGGAAATTGGTCGATTAAGCAATATGAAGCTGAAATTACTATGCTCACGAGATATGCACCAAAGCTGATTTTAAATGCACATGAGAAGTGCCACATGTTTTTATCTAAATTGAAAGACGTGATTAGACAGTCATTGATTTCCCTTGGGATTAATGACTATTTTGTGTTGGTGGAGAGCTAGAAAGATTGAGTTGAATTTACAGGCTACTCAAAAGAGGAAGAGCTCAGGGAGGTCCATATTTTCACAAAGTTCCAGAAAAACAATGATTTCAATTAGGAACTTTGAATACTAAGAGAGCCAAATCAAGTATTTTTGGTTGCCAGGGTGATGCTATGAAGTGAAACAAATGTGGAAGAGCTCATAAAACTGAGTGCTTATATGGATCCAACACTGGTTTTTTGTGTCATCAGCTTGACCACATAGCGAGGTATCGCCCTACATTGGGACAGTGGGCTCCAACAGAGACTAATTCTGCACAGATAGAACAACTAAGTCAACAAATTCAGTGCCAAATCCAGGTCAGACCCAACAAAATATTCAACCCTAGGACATACTTTATCTCAACAAAAAGCTAAGGAGTCGCATGAGAGTATAAAATGTATATTTTATTTTCAGCAAACTTTTAAGTGATCGAACATTTAATTGCATCATAACATATTTCACTTAAATGACCAAAAAATTAAAATTATTTTAAATAATTCATTTTTAAATAGTTGATATAATTTTTATATTATAATAGGCATCATATCCATCCATGATAAATCAATAAGAATGTTATTCGATAAGCAGACATCTCATTCATTTATAGCGAAAGATTTGATGAGATTGATGAATTTGAACTGTATAATAATTCCAAAAATATTATCTATTAAAATGCCTAATGAGTCCTATAGAGTTAAATCAGTGATGTGAAGTAAAAGTGTATATTGGTGATGGATTTTGATGCACATTTGATTGTTTTGCTGCGGGCTGAATTTGATGTTATCTTAGGAATGGATAGGCTATATAAAAACTTCATAACAATAGATTGCAACAGCATATTGAATATGATTCCAAAATTCGTAAAAATTAACATGAACTCAAATTATCGGCCCAAGCTCCCCCTTCCTCTGTAGTTCATGCTGGCTAATCCTACAATACCACTTATCGCCTCCGCAACCAGCGATGCTGCCTTTATTGCCCAACATTTTTTACATTGACTTCAATTTTCTTGAAACCAAATATAAAATGTTCTCCATTTACTTTAAAAACAAAACTGAACAACTTCAAAGTATTTCAAAATACACTATACTTCACAATGCATTCCTATTTTCACAAACCAAACAACCCCTAACTAATTAACTAATACATTTAATTAAGCAATTTCATGAAATTCTTATAGAAGCTTATCCAATACAATAAACACCAAAATCCAACTTTTGAAGAAGCAATTAATGAAGTAATTTGCTAACAAACTATTTGAAAAATCTTCATGGAAGAATAGTATAGTGAGAGGTTAAAACCAGCAAAACAACCCACACATCATAATATAAGGAGGAATTATCATATTCAATTAATTTAAAAAATCACCCTTACAAGCTCTAGCTGACGAATGCTGCGAACCTCCCTAGGAAGAGGTACCTTTTTATTAATATCCTGCCAACATGGTTGCAAGCACATTCTAAGTTCATTACATACCTTTAATACCTTTAGCTAGATAATAATACTTTTAGGAGAAACAAAGCACTAAAAAAGACCTCCTTTTTCGTATCGAGCTCAGCAAGCTTGATATAAATTTCAACCATTTGTTTCATCTGCAAAAGTTCAAAAAAATATCAATTAAAAAACAACACCTTATTCCAACACAAAAGTGGAAAAGCCTGTTATTAACTATGTTAAACGCTGTCAAAACCAGAGATCCCACTATGATTTCCAAATTTTGATGAATACCTGTCGAATTATTAAACCATGAGAGGATGATAACTCATCTAGCAGATTTTCTGCTGCAAGTTTCTTATCCATGTCAACAACAAAAGAATTTTTGTTTCGTTGTTTGTCTTTGATCCGATCCCCATTTGCTAGAGCCAAAATCTAAAGAACAAATAATTAAATGAAAGCTTACGACAAATTATCGAAATAAAAATTATCCTTCAAATCAAAATAAAAATTATCCTTCAAATCAGCGGCTGCAATATTGGACATAACTGTTTTCATACAATCAAAATTTGAGTAATTACGTAAAAATTCAATTGTAAAATTATAATGACTAAAGTTATCATCAACAAAAACTAATTTTCATTTACAAAAAAAAAAAAAAAGGAAAAAAAAAGAAAACATAAGTGCTGGTGCATGATTTAAACATAATGTTGGGTTCATTTGACAAGGGGGCTGGGGCTGAAACGCCCAAACCGAGAGGCTGAACCGGCTGACCCTGCTTAAGGTTGGGGCCACCACCCAAAAAGAGAGATTTCCCTCCTCCTAGTTATCCTTTACTATAGATAAGTTGTTTTCTGTGTTAATGTTTAGTTTTTCAGATTTCTTGCCATCGGCATTTCTTCCTTGCTAAAGTTGTACCCGATGATAAGTGGTTCTCCGACTGTATCCTGCTCCACGATAGTTATTATCTCCCAATAATCCATTGCCTATTCCCCTACCCCGCATGCTGCCTTTTCACCTGCGCCCCACTTCCCGTTTTCCAACCACCAACCCTAGACTTGCCTCTACCAATGCTGCTAAGCACCCCACACCATTTGCTCCTATCCTACTCCTCTCCAGCATCTCCCCTACTCCAGCTCCTAACCCGCCAACCTTCCTGTACTACCACCACTGCCCCATACCTCTACTGCTACTACAACAGACCCCAGTTGCGCCTCCACAATTGCGAACCTCTTCCCTCCAGCCCTTCCTGCTACAACCGCCTACCTCATGCAACCTTCTAGCCTGCCAACCTTCCTGTACTACCACCACTGCCCCATACCTCTACTGCTACTACCACAGACCCCAGTTGCGCCTCCACAATTGCCAACCTCTTCCCTCCAGCCCTTCAAGCTACAACCGTCTACCTCATGCAACCTTCTAGCCTGCCACTTATCTTAAGCCCTTGTCACAGCTATCCACTGGCAGTCCCTTCTCGCCCTAGCCGGAGATTCTCGTTTTGATGTGTTTCCTTTCCTCTAAGTTTTGATTATAAGTCCTTTATTTTTGGCGTAATAAAATCTTTTTCTCTATCAGATTTTGGAGTTAACTCTGGTATCAATGAGTATCAGAGCTAGCTTAGTCCTAGTCCTATCTAAAAAGATCCTAGCATCCGCCTTACCTAAACCACTCCCCAGCAAAAAATTTTCTTTTCTATCCTCAACAATCTCACAATCCCCCAAATCCTAATCATGCCACCAATAAACTTCATTCCGGGACCTACCCGAGATGAGATACAACGAGAAATCTATTGGCTTTAGCAAGTGCTTGCGTAGATTCATGATGAAACACAAGAAAAAATTACCCTGGACTATGATCTGGAGGGTCAAAGAGGAGAAAGGGATGAGAATCTAAATCAGTTTCATAAAGAACACATCGATGATGAGGAAAACAAACCCCGATGCTTCGACATTCAGTATTAGAGGAGGTCGAGAGAAGAGGTTTTATATGGAGGACACAAGTATTTTGGCATCAATTTTTCTAATAGAGTTCGATGGAGGTATGGATCCTGACGATTTTATCGAATGACTATAGGCAAATGAGTGAATCTTCAAATACAAAAAAGTGCCTACGGATAAAAGGGTAAAGCATGCAGTCATCAAGCTAAAAAAGAATACCTCCTCCTCGTGGAGTAATTTACAGAGACAAAGAAAGAGAAAGTTTAGTGATAAGATTACTAAGTTAAAGAAGATGAGAAAAGAGATGTAGATAAAATACTTGTCGCCTCATTAACGTCAGAATATATTTTTGAGACTCCACTTGCAACAAATAGATCTATCGGTGGAAGACTTCGTACCCCGGTTTGACATGTTACAGATCAAGTGTAAGCTGATAGAGCCCATGGCCCATTATCTATGGGGCTTGAAGCCCACTTTAAGCAACTTGGTGCAACTGCAACCCCATTGGTCACTGGGAGATATCCAAATCTTAGCTTTGAAGGTAAAAAGATAACATAAACGGAGCATTCAACAACCCTCATTCAAACTGTCGTCCACACTCGAGTAATCATCTACAACTATAGTTACCGACAAGGGTAACTCTTGAGGAGTTGTAAAGATTGAGTAGGGAAGTGATTAGACTGATCTGAGTGGAAATAAGCCGAAAAAGAGTATCTCGCTCAGTACAGTGGCTGTCAGGAGATGCTTTTAGAAACATTTATTCTTCATATTTGTAAATTTTCAATATTCCCATGTGTGACAAATTAGGTGATGTTTTCCAAAATGAGCTACAATTACTTGATTTTGTTTGCGGAATAGACGCTTTAAAACAAATTTATGCGTCTTCACATCTATTTTCTCAGATCAATTTTTTGAATGTCTTCTTTTGGTAGTTTCAATGTTCTGGATGCATCAATGCTATATATTTTGTGAAATAAGTGATGATTAGATTTTTTGGTTCACGAGATACGATGATAGTTGTCCACATCATCATTTCCACGTTTTCTCATGTCGCATTGCAAAGTAGGTATTGGCATAAAGAATTACTAAAGCTTTTATGAAGCACAAATGATGTGAGCTACGAATATCACCACACGTCTGAAATATAATCAAGTTTATAAATTTAAAACCTGAAATATAGTGTGATATGGATGCTCAATGGCCATTTTTCTCACAAGGTAGAGCAGTGCAAGCAGTGCAGTCTGTAGATTTCTGTAGATTTAAAAAAAAAAAAAATTTAATCAAATTATAAGCATTATTAGTTTTTAGCGCAAAATAACAAATCACTAAATTAAACTCTAGACCTGAAAACTATCTTGTCCTTCTTTAGAGATACCAAGCCTTGAAGCAATCTGGTAAACCAATGGTAAGAATTTGTATGATTGAACCTGGAACCATTTTCCATTCAAAGTAAATTTAAAGTCAATGCTAGATAATGGTGCTAAGCTACTTAAACAGTTTGTAACTCGACCCATTAATACACAACAGAGACCTGCACAACTCACCTCTTTAGCTGTATTCAACATGGACTGTACAACATTTTGCCTCATATAAAGACTGAACCACAAAGAAACAATTCGAAAAACCTGAAGGGAAAATAAAGCAACATAAAGTGCTGATACAATATCTACTGGAAATTTATAGTGAAACAAGCCAATTTAAGGCAAAGTTAATCATTGCATATAAAAGGTAGAGCAAAATAATTTGATTTTGCATTGAAAGAATCCTTCATTAAAGAAGTTCTACTATTAAGGAGAAGGCAGCAATGAATGATGAAATAGCTATTTCCACTTTTTTCTCATTTTTGTTCCTGGAACCATTTCCTTCCCCCAAACCAAGTAAAACCGATGATTGATCCACATAAAAAGCGCTTAAAGGCTAGCTACAGCAAAAGTAAAGATTGCTATCTCACCTGGACGTCAGCCCCTCACAGAACGGAAGCAGGAACATTCCCCCAAAACTGGTTCGTTTACTGACTGATTTAGGGAGTTCTTGTTTTCTTGAGCAGGCCGGTTCATTATAGGCAATTTACTGTTTTGTTATTATAAAGGTATTTTGATTCCTACATATAAATATATCGTTAAACTTTGTTTGGATTTGTTTTGGTTTATGCATCAGAGATTATTTTTCTCTAGTTTTTTTCTTGCCAAAGCGCTGTATTCTTGATCTCTCATAGGTGGTGCGCCTATAAATTGATTCGATCGAGGCAGTGAGCTCTCCATGATGCCTAAGGACCTCCTGCACCGCCAGCCTTGCCGCTGACCTACACTTTCCTGCTACCAACAAACCCAATTGGTGTCACTATCTATAAAACTCATTATGCATAAATCTTCATCACCCATCTCTATGTTTTACACTTGCTCCAACTAATACAGAACTCTCAACGCATCGTCACTAGAATATGGCAAATCAAACACATCCTCCCATTGCTTTAATATTAAGAGACTGGCACTTTTCATACATTGACTTTCCTCTTGCATGCAGTGATCTCAAGTATAATATGAGTAAGAAAAAAAAATATTTTCAGGTAAGCACAAAATTTAGAGCAGTATTTGAAATTTATATGGAAATAAGGACTCACCACTTTTAGATCATACTTGCCACCGATGACAAGACAACGTTTGTAACCCTCCAATGCCAGGGCAAGAAAATTGTCCCTATCATCCTTTAACAAGCAGCAAAATAATTTGATTGAATCAAACTAAGGAATTCTTGGATATTTAGAGATTTCAACACATTCAAATGGTAACATAAAAACAAGATATGCTTGAAAAAAGATGAGCCAGCCCATCACTAAATATCATACATATAATATGATTGAAATCCACTAACATCAAAACCTTTTTTCTGCAATATAGAGAATATACAAGAATAACCAAAAAAAGAGAGTAAAGTTCAAAACAAAATTCTCGTTGCACGTAAGTATGATAGGGTGTTGATTACACATAAAAATGGCCTCTACAATAAGGCAACTTAAATGAAACAGTCAATACCTTAATAACAAAAGTGCAAAAATTCCGCATCATTGAGGAGATGTAGGTTAAAGCAAAAAACTACTAGAAAAATAGTTATTTAATAGAAAATTGAGATAGAAAGTACAGTGCTAGTCCTCAAGTTATTGATGTTGATTTCTCAAAACAACGATTCGTCAAATCCTCAAGAAAACTAATAAGCCAAAACAAGATTTTATTTCTACAAATAGTCTCCTAACAATAATCTAAACTAACACAACGGATTCCTCAAAACATTAGTTGTTAAATTATGTAGACGAGAAAACCAACAAAAATAATATAAAGGCTACAAAAAATTTCTTTAATTCTTACTAGCATTAAGATCTTTTTTATATGGAATAACAGTCAAATAAAATAAATAAACTGACAGCTAAAAATCTAAATACAAGATCATCTTTACAAAAATAAGCAATGAAAATAGAACTAATTATTAAAATTTTAAAATGTAAATACACAAAATTCTATCGAATTAAAATAATATCAATGGAGCACAAACTACATCAAAAGATTTATGCCACTTAGCCAAGGCCTGAGAGCAAAATATCGGTTCATACACTCTCTTTGCTATGCAAGATGTGCATTAAGTGAATCTGAGCATTGATTTTATCGAAGGCCTTCCATAGACCCAGCGGGACAATGATTCTAGGAATAGCAAGAGACTGATAACATGCAACGTCGACGAGATTGGGAACAGGCTAGGTGTCGTTTGATAGTTGTCTGGTTAAAAAACAGTGGGTAGGAGAGCAAAACGGCACAGAAATTCCACCGCTTGTTTTTGAACATTTTGAACAAACTACAAATACACTATATGCAAAAGAAGATTCTACAATATTCCTGAAAATCTAAGAATACAGTATCCAAATAATATGAAACAAAGCTAAGCCCGCAAAAATAAGAAAAAACGTATAAATAATTCCCAAATAGAAATAAACCTATTACGAATTAAAAGAATATTGAATATAGGACAAGCTTCTCTTTTCTTTGCAAGGGCTATATCCGAGGGTTTGGGTGACGCTTCGACTGTATCTCACTCCCGAGGTGGTATTCCTTTCCGCATCCTCCCCCCATCGCTTTCGGCCGCCCTCCACTGCTGCAGCAGCCATCAAACAGCAGCCTGATGCTATTTCCCATCAGTTTTCCTATCTTCTAGCCACTGCCACCCGCATTTTGGCTTGCTGTTGCAATCCCAGAAAACAAAGAGTACTGTCCTTACCCGTTCCTGCACCCTAATTAGTCTCTATCACTTGCTATTACCATTATCCTGCAGTCCCAACAATTCCTACTAGCTGTCAACCCTCACTTGCTATTGCCATTATCCTGCAGTCCCAACAAGTCCTACTACCTGTCAACCCTCACAACCGACCCAAGACTTGCTGTCCTCTTATTGTTCCCCCTCTTTCGTGTTTGCTCCCGCCGAGGACAGCAAGTCAGCATTGTCAGGTCACTGTTTCCACACAGCCCAACCCCTCCTCTATCTTGTTGCCACCTTTCTAAACGTCAAACGACCACCACCACCACTTGAGATCCACCCGTGTGGGCGTCTGAGTGTAGTGACTGTTGTTGCTTTCCCTTTCAGGTGTGTTCGGGTTCTAATCGCATTTTTGCTTTCAGTAAAAACATTTCTTTTCATATAGGTTATTTGGGTTAACTCCAGTATCATTTGTAATGACGCAGGAGCTTCCCACAAGGGGTGTTTCTGCAATCATTGCTAAATTACTGATACAGTACCATGAATTCACACGGGTGAGTGCGGCTTGGACCGGTCTAGAAGGGCCAATCAATCCTTTACATGGATTTCTCTCTTCTTTGGAGTGGGGTTCACTCCTATTTACCATAAGTCTATAAATATATTATTTTTATGTTTTTAGGTCAGTTTTGTAGTGAGTTTTGTTTGAGACAGCCGCCGGCATCTCTCGTTTCCCTTCAAGAGCTGTATCTGAGGGATTGAATGGTGCTCTGGCTATTTCTCATAATCAAGGTGGCGATTATCTTTCTTATTCCCTTCCACATCACTATCAACGAATTTTTCCTTGGTATAGTTCAGCTTGGTTGCTCTAATGTGTGCACTCTTGCTGCCTTAATCCCAAAATTGAACTCTATTTGTAAGGTGGATCCTGTAATAATAATCATTAAAGAAATTTTATTAACCTAATTATGAAAAAATAAATGAAATTAATTAGAAAAAAGAGAATAATTTATCTCTTCACAACACCTGCACAACATGTGTCGTTTGAATGAGAAGCTCACCGCTCATGGGGATTTAAGAACGAGGACATTTCCTCGTCTCTACTCATTCGGGCCCAACAAGAGAGAGAGAAAGCAAGAGAAAGTGCAAGAGAGATAGAGGAAGAGAAGCTGAAGAAGATGAAGAAAAGAAGGAAGGAGGAAGAGTAGATGTGTTGCTTACCTGCATACTTATTCTGCGCATGAAAGAGTTCGTGCAGCTTTTAGGATGCCAGATCGAGCTTTCGAGAGTTTGGAAGCCGAAAACGGCATGCAGGAGCCATTCTTGGGCATAAGAGACGCTTGACCATGCTTCCTCGCCTATTTTCATGTCGTAAGGGAGAAGAAGTGTCGAGCTGTCCTTTGAGTTGTCCTTCATACAAACGTGTTTGTGTTGCATCTCCCATTTCACTCTAGACCATGCGATGATATTACTCTTCACTTCCTATTGTCGAAGATGCTTCTGATTCTCCCACAAGAGATTGTTCTTCTTGAGCTAGATGACTTCTAATTTAAAACTTTTGTCCCAGAGAACTTAATTTAATTAAAGAATTATTCTATTGTTTGGAGTCATTCAATGAATTCCCCTAGATTCAAACATCTATCAAAATCAGACAAGTTAATCATTAGTTCAAAATCTTGGCTTCCCCTATGATATTCCATGTCAAGTTGTCAGTACATTGACTCATCATTGAATACTTCATGGTGAAAAGGAATCACTTCATTCTCTCGATTTGGTAGATCACTGTTGGGGCCATAGGTGATCTCTCTGATTATCTCATCTTAAAGGCGACAAGCCCTAGTTGAAGTTGGAAAATTTCTAATTGCATATCTTCGATAGTAAGCTTCATACCTCAACGAGGGTTTCTCTTTAGTTTCACGTCCTTTCGACCAATAAAAAATAAATGATAGTTTAAGGTTAGGGCAAAGTGGGTGATTTGAATATATATATATATATATATA